TGAGGTGTGGCACGGAATACCAGAAATGTCTCAAATCCCCTGTGTTTGTGCATCCTGACCCCGCCGATCTGCGTGAGGGGTGGCGCGGAATTCCAGAAATGTGGCAAATCCCGTGTGGTTTTGGACCCTGACCTCGCCGATATGCGTGAGGGGTGGCACGGAATTCCAGAAATGTGGCAAATCCCATGTGTTTTCGGATCCTGACCCCGCCGACCTGCGTGAGGGGTGGCACCGGATTTCAAAAATGTGGCAAGTCCCATGTGTTGTCGGACCTTGACTTCGCCCAGGAGAACCCAGGAGAGCCCAGGATGGCCCAGGAGAGCCCAAGAGGGCCTAGGAGGACCCAGGAGGCTCCAAGAGGCACCAGGGGGCCCAAGGAGGGCCCAGGAAAAGCTCCAGGAGGCTCCAGGAGAGCCCAGGAGGGCCCAAAAGGTCCAAGGAAGACCCAGGAGGGCCCAGGAGCCCTTACGAGGGATCGTGGCCCTGGGAGCGCTGACGTAGCGTAATTTACGAGGGATCGTGGCCCTGGGAGCGCGGGTGTAGTGTAATTTTGAAAAAAAAAAAAAAAAAAAAAAAAAATGCGTTTCGTGCGTGCCCGCTCGAGGAAAGTGCGCCCCCTATCTCGGATCCTCTATAAAAAACTACGTCCGCAGACCACCGTTTTCCTTTCGTAAAAAATAAAATGCGGAGCGTTTTTGGCAGAACCCTCGGCAAATAACGGGGTCTGGAGCCTCGACCGCGACGCGGAAAAGCGCACCGCGCGCAGGAATTCCGAGGATGTCTCGCGCGTGCCGCGTCCCGCGCGCAGGAATTTTGAGGATGTCTCGACTATTTCGTGCGTTTTGCCATGATTGTTTTGGATTTTGACGGGATGTCTCGCGCGAAACGCTTGGTTTTCATAATTTGTTGAGGATGTGTCGAGCGAAACGCTGGCTTTGCAAAATTAGAGGATGTCTCGAGCGGGGGCCTCGTGGGGGGGCCAGAATTCAGAGGATGTCTCATGCGAAATGCTTGTTTTCACGTCCCGCTCGCAAGAATTCCGAGGATGTCTCGCGCGTGCCGCGTCCCGCGCGCAGGAATTTTGAGGATGTCTCGACTAATTCGTTTGTTTAGCGAGGATTTCTTTGAATTTTGACAGGGTGACTCCAGCGAAACGTTTGTTTTTCATAATTTGTTGAGGATGTGTCGAGCGAAACGCTGGCTTTGCAAAATTGGAGGATGTCTCGAGCGGGGGCCTCGTGGGGGGGCCAGAATTCAGAGGATGTCTCAGGCGAAATGCTTGTTTTCACGTCCCGCTCGCAGGAATTCCGAGGATGTCTCGCGCGTGTTGCGTCCCGCGCGTAGGAATTTTGAGGATGTCTCTACTAAGTCGCTTGTGTTGTTTGGCTTTCCTGGGATTTTGACAGGATGTCTCGAACGAGCGTTTGTTTTTCATAATTTGTTGAGGATGTGTCGAGCGAAACGCTGGCTTTGCAAAATTAGAGGATGTCTCGAGCGGGGGCCTCGTGGGGTGCCAGAATTCAGAGGACGTCTCAGGCGAAATGCTTGTTGCCACGTCCCGCTCGCAGGGATTCCGAGAATGTCTCGCGCGTGCCGCGTCCCGCGCGTAGGAATTCTGATGATTTTGAAAGGATGTCTCGAGCGAAGCGCTTGTCCCCAGCACGTTCCGTAGCGCGTCCCCTTGGCACGTCCCGCGGTGCGTTCCCATGGCACGTCCCTTGGCACGTCGCTTGGCGCGTCCCTTGAGACGTTCCGCGTCGCGTCCTCCTGGCATGTCCCGTTGTCCATTAGCTCTGGGGCGCTACTATGTGTTCAGGCAGCTCGAGCTTAAGATCCAGATCAGTTCGGACAGGACTCGGATGCAAAGGAGGACTCGATCCACGAGGCTATGAAGCACAATCGCGCCATGGCACATCGCAATTCAGCACGGCGCAGCACAGCACAGATTTCGGCACGGTACATCAAGATCGATACACTCAGCATTGCAACTTGGCACGTTCCTTGGCACGTTCCGTGGGGCATCCCTTGGCGAGTCCCCCTGACACGTCGCGTGGCGCGTCCCCTGGCACATCCCGTGGCACATCCATTGGCACGTTCCGTAGCGCGTCCCCTTGGCACGTCCCGCGGTGCGAACCCATGGCACGTCCCCTGGCACGTCGCCTGGCGCATCCCTTGGGACGTTTCGCGGCGCGTCCTCCTGGCATGTCCCGTTGTCCATTAGCTCTGGGGCAGCTACTATGTGTTCAGGCAGCTCGAGCTTAAGATCCAGATCAGTTCGGTCAGGACTCGGATGCAAAGGAGGACTCGATCCACGAGGCTATAGAGCACAATCGCGCCATGGCACATCGCAATTCAGCACGGCGCAGCACAGCACAGCCCTCGGCAGGGTACATCAAGATCGATACCTTCAGCATTGCATTTGCCCGTCACCCAATCAAGTGTCTTTGAAAACGCTGACATGTGTTACAGTTCTATATTCCTTTCCGGGTTCGTGGGTCGATCATGTTGAAGAATTTTGGCAGTTGCTTCTTTTCGGCATTCCGACGGCTCAATACGGCCCAAGAGGTCCCCAACATCACCCACGAGGCCTCCAAGATGGCCCCATGACGGCCCAAGAGGCCCCCAAGACGGCCCCAAGAGGGCCCAAGGGGCCTCCAAGGCTGCCAAAATGGCGTCCAAGACGGCTAAGATGGCCCCACGATGCATCCAAGACGGCCCAAGATGCACCCAAGACGGCCTAAGATGGCCTCAAGATGGCCCCTGACGGCCCAAGAGGGCCCCCTAAGAGGCCTCCAAGACGGCCCGAAAGGCGTCCAGGAGGTCTTCCAGGAGGGCACGACAAGGCCAAAATCATTGATTGTCCAGAAAGGTTGTTGAAAGATTGTGGCATTTGCTCTTCTCGGGATTCCGACGGCTCAAGACGGCGCAAGAAACCCTCAAGATCGCCCAAGAGGCCGCCAAGATGGCCCCATGACGGCGCAAACAGCCCCCCAAGACCCCAAAACGGCCCAAGAGGCCTCCAAGACGCCTAAGATGGCCTCTAAGAGCCCCTGATATGCCCCAAGAGGGCCCACCGACGGCCCAGACAGTGCAGGCCCCCAAGACGGCTTCCGACGGCGTCAGACAAGCCAGGAACGCCCTACGACTGCCAAAGAGGCCCCCAAGGAGCCTCCAAAGGCCCCCCAAAACCTTCCAAAAGGCGTCAGCCGGGCCAGGACTGCCCTAAGACGGCCAAAGAGGCCCCCAAGATGCCCCCAAAGGCCCCCAAGAGGCCCAAGGAGGCCCCCAAGAAGCATCCAAGAGGCTCCCAGGAAGCTCCCAGGAGGCCCCAAGAGTGCCCCAAGAGGCGCCCAAGAGGCCTTCTCCTCCTCCTCCTCCTCCTCCTCCTCCTCCTCCTCCTCCTCCTCCTCTTTTTTCCTCATCCTCCCCCTCCTCCCCTTCTTGCTCCCCCCTGCGTTCCCCGAAGTCTTTCCATGCAGACTCGGGGAACAACTGGCCCGATCGCTTGGCCAAGCTCTGGCCCCACTGTCGGCCACCGAGGCGCTTCTAAAGGGGCAGGGGGCGGCGGTGATTCGCCGTAGGCGTCTTCGATCCGCCGCCGCCTGTTGATTCATCACAGGGGTGCCTGGCGTGCTAGATCCTTTCGGTTTTGGTATTGGTTCTTGTTCCAAAAGAACTCCCCCTGGGGCTTCGGCCCAGCCCGCCAGGGTCCCAGAAGGTTCCCGAACATCCGTCTGTCAGTGCCTTTCTTGCTCCGAGATGGCCTACGATGGCCTCCACGACGGCCAAGATGGCCTCCACGATGCCTCAAAGACGGCCAAGATGGCCTCCAAGACGGCTAAGATGGTCCCAAGATGCACCCAAGACGGCCCCAGATGGCTGGCCTCAAGATGGTCTAAGACTGCCCAAAAGGCCTAGAAGAGGCCTCCAAGACGGCCCAAGAGCTCCAAGACGTCCTCCAAGAAGGCCAGAAATGGCAACCATCATTGATGTTCCTGATGTTTTTGAAGGATTTGAGCATTTTCTTCTCATCGGCTCTCCGACGGCCCAAGACGGCCCAAGAGGCCCCCAACATCGTCCCAAGAGCGCCCACGACGCCTCCAAGATGGCCCTATGACAGCCCAAGAGGCCCCCAAGAGGACCTCAAGAAGAGCCCAAGACGGCCCAAGATGGCCCCGAAGACGCCGAAGATGGCATCCAAGACGGCCAAGATGGCCTCCAAGATGCTCCAAGACGGCCAAGGAGGCCTCCTAGACAGCGAAGATGGCCACAAGATGCACCCAAGACGGCCCCCGATGGCCTGAAGATGGCCTTATACTGCCCAAAACGCCCGCAAGAGGCCTCCAAGACGGCCCAAGAGCTAAAGACCCCTCCAAAACGTCCTCCAGGGAGGCCCGAAAGCTCGCCCGACTCTGTGTTCCCCGAAGGCTTTCGAAACCCCCTCGGGGAACGCGTGGCCCGATCGCTTGGCCAAGCTCAAACCCAACTGTCGGCCACGCAGGCGCTTCCAACAAGGCAGGGGGCGGCGGTGATTCGCTGTAGGCGTCTTCGATACTGCCCACAGAGGCCCAGCTCAGCTCCAGCCCAAACAAAAAACGAACACACGCGCCAAAAGAACCAAATGACAACTCAGCATAATCCCCAAGACCGCCAGGGTGCTTTTACCACGTCTGCAAATCCGCTGGGAGCGTCCCCGATCGACGGCACAGGCCGAAGGCCACGAAGGCCACTGCAATATCTCATAGTCTCTACGGGGGCTTCTTGGGGGCTTCTTGCAGGCTTCCTGGGGGACTCTGGGGGCCACTTGGCAGGAACGCCAGGATGCTCCGGGGGCCACCTTGGCGCCGAGGGCGGTCGGAGGGCCGCTCGGGGGGGGCGCTTGGGGGGCCTCTTTTGGGCCTCTCGGGGCCCTCTCGAAACGCTTTTAGGCCATCACGGGCGCTTCTGGAGCCATCTTTAAGCCATCCTAGGGCCCGACGCGTGAAAACCCTTGAGTTTCGGTACTTTTTTGGGCGCTCGAAGTTCTCTCTGGTGGTCAAGGCTAAGGCAGGCTGGAGCATCATAAACCAGGACGCTTCGGCACTGCTTGTCGAGTAGACCGGGGCGGCCTCAACACCCCCCAACACCGGGGCGCGGAGCGCCCCGGGAGCGCCGCGGGAGGCAGCGCCCGGGTGCTCCCCAGTGCAGGTCCTCGGTGTCGCCAGGCTTCCCTGGCACAGCGAAGGGCTTGGCATCGTAGCGACGTCGACGTGGAGCAAAGACTGCCAACCTTGCAATCCAGACTGAGCGGACTTCGAGCCAGTCTTGTGGGGGCCAGGGCGAATCACAACTCCAGCGACCAGGTTATCTGCCCCGAGTGGCGCTGCGCGCGTTGTCTGTGAAGCAATGCGCACGTAGATCAGGGCGCGCAGGAGTCACGATGCCCGGGCCGCTGCATGCACGAGTGAACGCGCGGACGGATGACTCGTGAGCCAGCGCGCCAACCTTCCCTCCTGGAGAAGTCTCGAGACGGAATGGCCCTTGAACCCAAGCGGCTGAAGATCTGGCACTGGCGCTCGTTTCCCCCGCAAAGGGTGCCGACTGCGCACTCCTCTCCCCGCGCGCCCTGCCGGAAGCCGGGCTCCGTGGGGGCGCCGGCACTGCGGATCACAGGGCCAGGATGTTGCGGGCGCCCGCCTGGCCACCGTGCCCGCTTCCCGCGCAGCCGCCGGCGCTGCGACCGGGGCCGCCCTGGCCAGTGGCTCCATGGCCCCCAGGGCCGAAGCGCTGCTCGCCGCTGTCCCCGGAGCGCCTGCTGTCGGCGCTCCCCTCCGATCGCCTGCTGCGGGCGCTCCGCCCACGGCGGCCGACGAGCGAGCGCGCCGACCGGCCAAGCGGCGCCAGGGAGCCGTCCGACTCCGGGGCGCCTGCCAGCACGGAGATGTCATTCGGCAGGGGCGTATGGACGTTCGTGGAGGTCCAGTGCACCCCCTGGATCCACTTGGGCCTCTCGAGAACGATCTTCACCACGCGCGACGTCTCGCCCAGGCCGGCGGGCCAATCCTCGCGATCTTGTGGGGCCAGGACTAGCGTCACGCTGCTCTCGATGGCGAGGTGGAAACGATGATGATGCTCACTGAAACGGAAGCGAACTGATGCCACTTCCAGCGGCGCAGCTTCTCCCTGACTGGCACTGTTATCGGACTTGTCGACGCAGAAACGAACCCAATACTCAAAGTCTTCTCGCATTGCTGGCTGGATGCATCGCAGAAGACTCTGCTCAACCTTGCATATTTGTGCCCAAGAACTACCAGCAAGCATCTTCAAGGCACTCGTGCAGCACAGCATTGTGAACGCTGGCGTCACAACATCAAACCAAATGGCAAGCTCAGGTACAGCTGACGTCAGACCCGATCCGTCTTCGGAATTGCTGCGTTCTGTGCTCTGGTCCTCTTGCGATTGCAGCCTGCTTTGGACATCGATCGTCAGCGCAGCACTTGGCAATCCAGGCGAAACAAACTGGTCCCTCCTTGGCGAAACCGTGTCTACAAACTCCCGGAAGCCAAGTAGAAACCATTCCTTATCACCGATGCCGTTGAAACGCACGCAGAACGCCTCCACTGGCACCGAGATGCCACGGTTATCCTTCATGCTCACGTGAAAGGCCTTGCAAAACTCATCATGTGTCGTACTGGAGGTTACCTCTTGGGAGAACTTCTCGCGGTCGGCCTCCGTGGCAAGGAAAGACGACATGCTCGCTTCACCCGCGACTCGCTGAGGGCTTAACATGAGCAGGGCCGCGAGCTTCGGAGAGGGCTGTGCTAGCCTCAACTCTGCATCAAGTTCCACCACAGCGTCACATGTGCCTGCCAAGATCGACTTTGCGGCGCGCAGCTCGTTCCTAAATGAATCGCCCTCTAGACGGACAACAACCGCCTTGGAAAGAGCAGCGTTTACAACCAAAAGCCACATAGTAACACTGAACCAACCGTACAGACAATCTTCCAGTGTATACGGGTCGATGGCAGTACTGCCACTGGAATTCCCAACAAGAAAAGTCAGTGCGGCGGTCAAATAGGAAACAGTTGCAAATATCAAGTTCGCTGGAAGGTACAAGTCCAATAAGCTCAAGGCCGCACAATCAAATATGATGTGCCCTTGAAGGGTAGCAACGCTAGACGCGGTTTGCAACAATGGTGACAATGTTACCACATTTGAAAACGCAATGAGAGCGTACGAGACGTGAAGTAGCCGTGACGTCGACAGTCGTGGGGACACAGCAACTATTGCGAATATGACTCCGCACCAAGCTTCATGCACCCGCCTTGGCACAATATGCTGGCGGTCGTCTGCGATGAAATGCGACATCGGGAGGTACACGAGAATCACCACAGAAGCGATACCACAAAATGCACGCGCAATCTCAACCCTGACGGCTCGCTTGTGCACTTCAACTTGGCATTCCGCGCCACTACCCTGCCAAAAGAAGCCCTTGAACCCTTTGATAATGCGAACACACGAAACGAACAATCGCAAAACGTTCAATGCCAAACCACAACCGTTCATCCAAATTGTTCGAGCATAACGGCATGTAACCAGGGCATAACAGACGACAATGCAAAGAAGCTCCGCTTCAACGACAACCTGGGATAAATCAATGACGCGCATCACTGCGATAATACCGGCACTTTGCCCAGTAGGGGACGTTAGCCTGCCCGCCCTGCGTCAAACCAATGTGCCTTGATCTTGAGCAGCAATTGCTTGAGCCAAAATGGCTACGGATGGCACTGGGGCGCTCTTGGGGGCCTGTCGGAACCGCCTCGGATGCCCGTGGGACAATAAAAACGAATCTGCCAGAAATATGCGTTTTCCTATGGGAGTGGGGCGATGTTTGCCGCTCGGGGCCCTCGAGAGGGTTCTCTTGGAGCCATCTTGGGGCGTCTTGGGTGCCTCTTGGGCCGCCTTGAGGCCATTTTTGGCCGTTCTGGAACAGCCTGGAAGCCACCTGGGGCGTGCAGAACTTCTACCGTGGGTCCCGGGGATTTAGGGGAAGACTCTGGGGAGGCTCCTTGGACGCCCCAAGGACGCTGCCAGAGCCGAGGGGGCACTTAGTGTACCCTGGTGCCCCTGATGTGCTGCGGGCCAAGGGCCTCCCGGACCGGGCTTCTGATATATGAGGGGGAGAGGAGAGAGAAGAGAGATGTGTGTGTGTGTGTGCGCACATCGATTGCATAACATATTGTGCAAATCCTGGTCTGTCCCCATACGCAACATCCGAGCAACATTGCTGACGTGTGCGCATGTCAAGAAGTCTGTGTGCATGTGTAAATATAGATATAGACATTTAGATCTATCGAAGCACCTAGATGAGGCATGCTAATGTACATTCCACTGTGCTGATTTGAATGAACTTCGGGAGCAATGCGAATCATGCCGCTCAGACCCGAAACAACAATGGCTTTACACACATGTGTCGGCCTGGCCTGCCACATACACGCGGTACTGTACTGCACTGCACAAACGTATTGGCAAATCAGATCGACAGCCGGTGTCGGCCTAGCAGAAAGGACTCCTCCCGCAGACCCATGGGAACATGAGGCGACACTCTCACATGCCTTGCTATCATTACCACCACGCTTGTTGCAGAACCCTCCCCTACCAGGTGGAGGGCGGCAACCACGCAAATACGTCGAACCTGGTCAGGCCCACCGTGGCCCCATGTGCCATGCTGGCCTGGTCAAGAGGGCGTGCACATTGACCCTGGGCACACGGCGGGCCTGGATGAGCACGACGGTGCAAGTCGGAACAGGGCGAACTGAGACAACTGCAGCTCGCAATCGGTCCCCAGACCCCTCCCGGGATCCAGACGCACCAGTTTTCCGAGCTGCGTCCAGCCGTGGCGACGAGGGGGGGCCCCCGAAGGCCAACTACCGCTGTCTCACTGCCACCCCCCCCACCCGCTCTGAGTAAGGCTGCGCCGTCGCCGCCCTCTGGACCGTCGGGCCGAAGTGCACGCCTGCCTGGAGCAGAGGACGGCCCTTTTGTGGCAAGCCCTCTCGCGCGCCAACCAGGGCCAGGGCCTGCCGCCCGGCATCGCCGGCGAACGAACGGAAAAAAGCTGGGAGGAGGCCGCACGGAGCGGGGGGCCGCACCTCGGCCACCGATGTGCAGCAGGCCCCCCCCTGGCGCAGTGCCAGCGGGGGTCAGGGCTCGACCTGAGCAGTGGTTCTCGTGTCCGTTTTTTCGTTGTCCCTCGCTTTCTCTTCGATCCGCCTTCACCGCAAGACGAAGCCGAAACGAAACACGACCCACAAAATCGCCCAAGCACCCTGAGGCCACCAAACGAGCGTCCTAAGGTTCTCCGCCGTTCGCGCTCGCTCTGGGCCCTCCACGGGCCACGGGACGCTTAGAAAACTCCTCTGGGGGGCAGACCTCGTCCCGGGGGGAAGGCCCTGGGGTCCGGGACCCGTCTCCCAGGGGACGAACTGGCGACCCCCCGTAGTGGTGACCCCCTTGGCACTGCCCGAGCGCCCCGAACGGTGGGGCTGGGGCTGTTTGGGTCCTGTCACGCCACAGGCCAGGGGGGCAAAGAAGTGGTCCAGCAGGCCCGGGCCGGGCCTGGAGAACTGGTGCACGACGCGTCGGCAGATCGTGTGGTTCGACTGCCGATGTGCGTGGCCAGGTTTCTGTGTACTGGTTTTTAGATTGCCCCCTGGACCGTAGCCAGGCGGCAGGACCATAATCGAGTATCGCTTAACCGATCCTCATCCCTAGCGGCGTGGCCTGGGCCCCGCAGGCCGATTCACCCCCCCAGATGGGGACGTAGGCCGTTCCCTTCGGGTTTCGAGGGGTGTATCCCAACTGGGGGGGGTAATTTGGTGGGGGTCTCCAAGGGGATGGGGATGGGGATGGGGATCGGACAAACGATACTGATTTCTAGAGTGCCCCCTGGACCGCGGTGGCAGGAGCATCATTGGAGCGTGGCGGCGCTCAGCTCCACCACGGGTCGAGGCCGGTGCGGAAGTCCTGCTCGGGCCACGGGGCCACTGCGATGTCGCCGCTCTCCAACACCGAGGTGTGCGCGAGCGCCAGCGACAGGGGCGCGGGGCCGCGGACGACCTTTAATGAGCCAGTTTTCCACCACCATCATGGGTTACGCGAGGAAAGGAGGAGGAGGAGGAGGAGGAGGAGGAGGAGGAGGAGGAGGAGGAGGAGGAGGAGGAGGACGGAGAGGAGGACGGAGGAGGACGGAGAGGAGGAGGAGGAGGAGGAGGGGGAGGAGGAGGAGAGGAGGAGGAGGGAGGAGGAGGAGGGAGGAGGAGAGGAGGAGGAGGAGGAGGAGGACCCCCTCCCCCTCCAACTTTTGGTGGTGGTGGTGGTGGAAAACACGCCCATCGACCTTGCCGTTCTCGTCGTACTGGGAGCCGTGGCAGGGGCAGCAGAACTTGTTGGCGGAGCGGACCCACGGCACGACGCAGCCCAGGTGGGTGCAGGTGGCGTTGATGGCGAAGTCCTTGATGCCGTCCGGCGTGGAGATGAGGTAGTAGGCGTCACCTGGGGAAACCAAAAGGCACCCATACTGCTACTCCCCGGACCTCTCCTGGGGCGCGTTCCGACCAGGATTTCGCAACGAATCCAGCGGCGGTGACGAGGACCGCCCAGGAGGCCCGAAGAGGGGAAAAAGCGGTGGCAGGGGCCGAGGTACGGGCATCTCTTCTCCTCCCCTGCTCACCCTTGAGCCCCTGCACCAGCTCGCGGTCGTTGTCCTTGTGGCCGGCGACCCACTTCTTCAGCGGGACGGCCGCGCCGTTGATGTCGCCCACCGGCGAGGCGCCGCCTCCGCCGCCGCCCAGCTTGGGGAAGAAGTCCGCCACCGTGCACTTCGAGGCACGGGTCGGAGAGGTCCACGGGTGCCCGGATGTCTCTGTCCCGAGTCATGGATGTTGAACAACACCGAGGTCGGGGCCCACCAAGGGGGGGGGGACCCTGAGGGGGGGGGAGCTCGATCCGCTGGTGCATCGAATTTCCGAAAAAGGATGTCCCCCGCGCGCCCCGATTGTCGACGCCTTTCGGGTTCCGGCGGTGGCCAGAGAACTCGTTTTGCATAGTTGTTCTGCGGTTCGATGCGCCAACGGACTGAACTCCATCCCCCCCCTTTGCGAGGTTCCGACAAGGGTCCACAACTACAAAGTTCTGGGAATTGCTGACCTTGCATCAGCACAGCGTCACCCTGCGAATGGGCCCCAAACCATGTGCAACAGATGGCAGGGCTCCAATTATCATGGCGCCGCCCTGCGAATGGGCCTCAAGCAGCTTGCGAGGCTAACTTGGTCTGACTAGCTGGGCGCCGCCTTGCTGACTGGACTTTAACTATGCCCCCGCAGCTTGCTTGGCTCCCATTCGCACGGTGCCGCCCTGCTACTTGGCCTCGAATCACGGGGAGGTTCTCTGAACGGTCCACGAGGGCTCCGAGACGGCCCAAGACCGCCCCAGGACGCTGCAAGATAGCCCACGATCTCAGCATGTTGGCGGGTTGGGCCGAAGGCAACTACATAGAACGCGTACCCTCCGAGGACTACCAGCGCTGGCACGGCGCACACAGCCACGACGATGAGGTTCATCAACACGCGCCTCTGCATGTCGGGAACGAAGCCCGTGTACTCGCCCGAGCCGGAGTTCAGAGCCACCGCCGATTGCACGCGACCGGCAGCAGTGCCGATGCGGGCGCTCGGAGCCACGAACGCTTGCGAGGCCGCCCAAACGCCAGCGAGAAGCGCCAGGACCGCAAGGGCTGCGGCGCGGCTGTCGCGAACCATGGCCCTGCAGGGGCTGAAGCGGCGAAGAAGCTGAGACCAAGCTAGATATCTCGTTTGCCTCTTGAACAAAGAACGCCCGCGGAACGGCAACAAACGCCTTTCATGCGCATTCTCATACCACTCGGCATGAGAACAGGTGCGCAGCAAGGTACTATAGCAATCGCACTACCATCCAGGACATGGGACCCAAGCAACACCACAGGTGTCAGAACTAACCGCAAGAAACTGACCACTAGAATACCATGAACATAGACCTCTTTCGGTCCGTACCGTCGGCATTGCACCCACGTGCCACGTGGGAGAGAGAACAAGTTTCGAGCGAACGCACAATTTGGCTGACTGAGACTTGAGAGGCGGCCCAATAGTATCGAACATCCCCCCGACGCTATACGCGTTGTCACCGTGACAAGCTTTATGATCAGGCGAGTCAGCGTTATGGCCAAGTGTGCGGTGGCTCGAAATCTCACGCAAACCAGGCTGAGCGCAAGTGTATCCACCAAAGTGTGGTTCTGCAGGCCCGCGAGAGGACAAGCGAACGTTGGAAAGGAAGCCTCCCCGAGCCCGCGAATACAATCATCTGAGATGCTCCTCGGGTGAGGTCGAAGCCATTGTGATTCGAAGAGGCCCTGCGGCAGGAGCACCCCAGAACCACAGAAAGCCCTACCGGGCGCTCCCTGAAGTCCCCCCCTCCCTGCTCACCCCGCCTTCTTTTTCCTCCTCGTTCGGGCAAGGCGTTCGCACCTACACTCACCTGCCCGAGAGCAACGCTTGGGACGGAAACAAGAGAAGAGAGGATGGAGCATAAACAACCCACCCCTGAACTTCCAACAATCGGCCGCCGATCGAACGCAGCAGAATGAGCCAGACTGGATGGCCGCCCGAGAGGCGCGAGCAGACGCAGATACCATCCAGAAGTGTTGCATGGCGTGTCGCGGCGGCTGCCCTGGCGACACGCAGTGCCCTGAAAGCTGATAACGTTTTCGCTCCGCTCTGCGGGGAGGAAGGTCGTGGACATCTCGAAACGTTCACGCTTCGGCATGGGGGCGTGGATAACCGCAATAGGTCATTCAAAATCCCCAGAATCATGGACAAACAGCTCCTCTTGTCGCGGGCTAAGTGAGGGTTGCCGACATCCAGCGCGAATTGGTGAATGACTATTTCGCCGCCGCCGTCGTCGTTGCTGCCGCCGCCGCCGTCGTCGTTTCCATCGTCGTACCCCCCCATGCTAAGCACCCAAATACCCAGCATCTCGATTTTGTTCAGGACACGGGCCCCCGACCTCTCGACCACGTCCCCCGGACCGCTTTTGCATCCCGAGTCGTTTTTGACGGTCCTGGGGCCCAGTAAGGGCCCTCAGATGATGGGCCTGCTTTCCACCACCAACCACCACCACTATACGTTGAAAGGGAAGGATATGGAGGACGAGGAGGAGGAGGAGGAGGAGGCGGAGGAGGAGGAGGGGGAGGAGGACCCCCTCCCCCTCCAACTTATGGTGGTGGTGGTGGTGGAAAACAAGCCCATCATCAGAGGCCGAAAACTACCAAGAACCTCCGTCTCGTTGATTTTTCCGTGACGCCCGATGGCTGTGCAGAGAGCCTCTCCCAGCCGCAAGGGGCAAAGGAGCCACAGCCGTCGTGCGCAACACAGGGAGGGCCGTGCAAGGAGTCAGAGGGGATTATCCAGCCTCGCCGAGCCTCGGCCACTGCGGGCTTCTCCGACCTGGATCTAGGGAACGGCACGAAGGCCGTAGGCCTTCCCGAGCCCAAAGTGGTCCGATCCTCCTCCTCCTCCTCCTCCTCCTCCTCCTCCTCCCCCCCCTCCTCCTCCTCCTCCTCCTCCTCCTCCTACTTGTCATCCTCCTCCTACTTGTCCCCCTCCTCCTCCTCCTCCTCTCCTCCTCCTCTCCTCCTCCTCCTCTTCCTCCTACTTGTCATCCTCCTCCTACTTGTCATCCTCCTCCTACTTGTCCTCCTCCTCCTCCTCCTCCTCCTCCTCCTCTTCCTCCTCCTCCTCCTCCTTCTCCTCCTCCTCCTCCGTGCCCTCCTCGTCCTCCTCCTCCCCTCCTCATCTTCCTCGTCGTCCTCCTCCTCCTCTTCCTTGGAAGTGGTTTCTGATAGAAGGTCTTACTATGCTTGACCTCTTCTACTTGCCCTGAGCCACATCCCCCTATAGAAAGGCAGTAGCTGTAACTAGGGTGAAAGGCCATTTGAATGCTGACAGCTTTGAGCGATTGTCGAGTGACTGGTACCAAGCTAAAGGCAACCATCGGGCTGATTTCTCGGCGAAGGCGGCGGCAATGACCCCTTGCAGACCCTCTGTAAATGAGTTGTCCGAGTTTGACCTTGAGACCAGCAGTGTTAAGTCTCTGATTTTTGTAGCAAAAGCGGTTTTGCTATGGTCCCAGCTTGCACCTGCCAGACCCAGCTGAAGGCTGGGTAGGGCAGGCGCTCCCAGCGCCGCCAGTGCCGGCGCCACTGCTGGCGCCGCTGGCGCCACCGCCAGACGCCAGGCCACCGCTTGAGGCAGTGCCGCCTCCGCCAGCGCCGCAGCCGAGGTGCTGGGCGTGGCTGGCTTGGGAGTTGTAATCCCCTCCCCCGCCTCCGGGGGGGGGCTCCTGAAAGGCGTCCCCGCAATCTTCCAGATTTTTCTGGGGACGCACCTCCGCCCCCTTCCCCTGATGTCTGGGAAGGCTATTGGTCGCGCCCCTTGCCCGAGGAGCTGAGGGGCCCCCAATTGAAATGGATTCGCGGCAAATGGGCCGCCCTGCCCGAACCTGCTCCGGACTGCCTCGGATTCAACTCCGTGGTCAGCGCCCTGGTGCAGGAGACCCAGGGCCATAAAATTCATGTCACAGGCACTCCTGATAGAGTGACGCTGTTCTACTGCATGAACTGTGGCAGTGTCAGCGGGGAGTGAGACTAGGGGGTCTTTTTTTGTTGTTTTTCCCGGAAAGGGCTCAAGCCCAGGGTTCTCTTTTAGAGGTTTACCCCCGGTGTCGACGGCTGTAGGGCCGGCGAAATTATTCTGCGATAAATTACGTGCGGGACTAGGGCCGGCGGAATTATTTTTGAGGATGTCTCGAACGAAAAGCTTGTTTTTCAGAATTTGTTGAGGATGTCTCGAGCGAAACGCTGGTTTTGTAGAGTTGGGGATGTCTCGAGCGAAACACTTGGTTTCAGAATTTGTTGAGGATGTCTCAAGCGAAACGCTGGTTTTGCAGAGCCGACCGCGACACGGAAAAGCGCTCCTCGCGCAGGAATTCCGAGGATGTCTCGCGCGTGCCGCGTCCCGCGCGCAGGAATTTTGATTTCTTGGGGTTTTGACAGGATTTCTTGAGCGAAACGCTTGATTTTCATAATTTGTTGAGGATGTCTCGAGCGAAACGCTGGTTTTGCAAAATTGGGGGATGTCTCAAGCGGGGGCCTCGTGGGGGGCCAGAATTCAGAGGATGTCTCAGGCGAAATGCTTGTTTTCGTGTCCCGCTCGCAGGAATTCCGAGGATGTCTCGCGCGTGCCGCGTCCCGCGCGTAGGAATTCGGATGATTTTGATAGGATGTCTCGAGCGAAACGCTTGTCCCCAGCACGTTCAGTAGCGCGTCCCCTTGGCACGTCCCGCGGTGCGACCCCATGGCACGTCCCCTGGCACGTCGCCTGGCGCATCCCTTGGGACGTTTCGCGGCGCGTCCTCCTGGCATGTTCCCCTGTCATTAGCTCTGGGGCAGCTACTATGTGTTCAGGCAGCTCGAGCTTAAGATCCAGATCAGTTCGGTCAGGACTCGGATGCAAAGGAGGACTCGATCCACGACGCTATAGAGCACAATCGCGGCATGGCACATCGCAATTCAGCACGGTGCAGCACAGCACAGATTTCGGCACGGTACATCAAGATCGATACACTCAGCATTGCAACTTGGCACGTTCCTTGGCACGTTCCGTGGGGCGTCCTTGGCGAGTCCCCCTGGCACGTCGCGTGGCGCGTCCCCTGGCACATTCCGTGGCACATCCATTGGCACGTTCCGTAGCGCGTCCCTTTGGCACGTCCTACGGTGCGACCCCATGGCGCGTCCCCTGGCACGTCGCCTGGCGCATCCCTTGGGACGTTTCGCGGCGCGTCCTCCTGGCATGTTCCCCTGTCCATTAGCTCTGGGGCAGCTACTATGTGTTCAGGCAGCTCGAGCTTAAGATCCAGATCAGTTCGGTCAGGACTCGGATGCAAAGGAGGACTCGATCCACGACGCCATAGAGCACAGTCGCGCCATGGCACATCGCAATTCAGCACGGCGCAGCGCAGCACAGCCCTCGGCAAGGTACATCAAGATCGATACACTCAGCATTGCATTTGCCCGTCACCCAATCAGGTGTCTTTGAAAACGCTGCCATGTGTTACAGTTCTATATTCCTTTCCGGGTTCGTGGGTCGATCATGTTCCGGAAAGGGCGTAGGCCAGGGTTCTGTTTAGCTGTTTACCCCCGGACCTGACTTGAAGTGGGCCGGCGGAATTATTCCGTGATAAATAGAGGTCGAGGTGGGCTGGCGGAATTATTTTTGAGGATGTCCCTAGCGAAACGCTTGTTTTTCAGAATGTGTTGAGGATGTCTCGAGCGAAACGCTGGTTTTGCAACAATTGGAGGATGTCTCGATCCAGTGCCTCGTGGGGGGCCAGAATTCAAAGGATGTCTCAGGCAAAATGCGTGTTTTCGTGTCCCGCTGGCAGGAATTCCGAGGATGTCTCGCGCGTGCCGCGTCCCGCGCGCAGGAATTTCAAGGATGTCTAAACTAATTCGTTTGTTTTGCCAGGAAGTCCTTGGATTTTGACAGGATGTCTCGAGCGAAACGCTTGTCCCCAGCACGTTCCGTAGCGCGTCCCCTTGGCACGTCCCGCGGTGCGTGTCCTCCTGGCATGTCCCCCTGTCAATTAGCTCTGGGGCAGCTACTATGTGTTCAGGCAGCTCGAGCTTAAGATCCAGATCAGTTCGGTCAGGACTCGGATGCAAAGGAGGACTCGATCCACGACGCTATAGAGCACAATCGCGCCATGGCACATCGCAATTCAGCACGGCGCAGC